TGAACGAAACAAGACCAAATTGATCACACTCTTTTTGGTCGGAGCGTGTTTCCTGAACGCGCTCCTGGTAATTTAAAATGGGTTTCCAATTTTTTCCAATAATTTTAGCACTTTTATTAATAGTTCAAAACTTTTTATAAGCGTCAATATCGCTGTTTTTTGATTTGGGTTTTTATTAAGTGTACATAGTTATTATTTTTAATGTCATACTGTTTTCAAACGCTACAAATATTAAGTAACTTGCTGTACTCTAGTGGTAAATGATCGATGAATAATCGATTAATAAAAAATAATCGATTTTTCCAAAATAATCGATTAATTGAAAAGAATAGATATTTTTAAGTAATCGATCAATCGAAAATAATCGATTATTTTAAATATTCGTTAACAGATTATTTATTTTGATAATCGCTCAACCCTAGTTATAACCTAAGATTTTTGGAATCATTTTTAGAAACATAATTATTTGAGTAAGAAATTGTATTTGAGTAATTGGAATGTTTTATTAATTCATAGAAATCGACAAAAATCCACTAAGAAAATCTACAGAAACTAGCTAAAAAATCTTAAATCTACCTACTAAATGTGGCAACGTTGGATCAAAGTCAGATTGACCCGACCAAGCCAAATAGGGTTGTTTTTTCATTACAATTGTCATAGACTATTACGTTTTGATTTATGTTATTAATAGAATTAAAAAATCATGTCAATCTATTAGTATTGTGTGATAAAACCTAAAACGAAATGTTCCCATCTAACGAGATTATATTCTAATTTAAATATAATTAATTTTTTTTTTGAAATTCCAATTTATGTCAGTCTTATAATCTTTTGAAAATAAATCCAAAAAATTATGTAAAAATACGTATAGAACACATCGGACTACAGGAGCAAGCTGAATGATCTGGTGAATCAAAACACATACAGGAAATTGTCGAAAGATCCAACAGAAGATTTTAAGAAAAACCACCAAATTAATTAAAGAGTCAAAGAAGAAAATCTGCACCACTGAAGCTCTAAAACCTACGTGCGAGACTCTACGCACTTCATGGAACACTAAAATATTTAAAAGATCACAATATTGTTCATGCGTCATTCGGAAGTAGTTATTGAAAAAAATTTGACTTATGATGTATTAAATCACTAAACAAAGTATGAAATTGATCATAAAGCTTCCGATTCAAAATTATATCATGTTCCCAAACCCGTTTTTTTTCCTCTCTGCGTTCTTCATCTTTAAATACACATATAATTTCAAATAACAATTTTTCTTCAGAACTATACTCATTCTAAATGCTAACAGACAACAGAAATTATGTCGTATTTTGATTACCCTGAACAAAAATGCGGAAAGCCGATCGGCATACATGTGCGATGTCTACAAAAAAAGTACGATTCGTCCGATGCGGCCGTTCCGTCCGAAACGTACAAATGCGCGTTTACCTTTAAAGGGCATCAGCTTAAAAGCCTAACGACATCTTAGTTATCTCTGACATTTTCTATATTTACAAATGTGTCACTCGAAAAAGTAGTCAGCTACATAGGGAGTTTTTTCCTGAGCTCATCAGTCTTTTCCGATACTCGCTCATAACATCATATTTCCAGTGGAATCAAACATTCTATGAACAAATTGACGGAGTCGCCATAGGCAGTCCACTCAGCCCAATTTTAGCCAATTTTTACATGGAAAAATTTGAAGAGAGAGCTATTCGCACTGCTGAAAAACAACCAAAGCATTGGCTGAGGTATGTAGATGGCACATTTGTAATCTGGAGCCACGGGAGAAAAGACCTCTAGAATTTCATAAATCATCTGAACAGTTTTCATCCTAAGGCTCAGTTCACCATGGAGTATACCGATCGATACCGACAATATGGATCCAACCATCATCCAAAACAGAGGCGCACACCTTAGCGTTAAGGATATGTGAACCAAGACACATCAACGATGAAATAACAACAGTGTTACAAGCAAACGGATACAGCAAAAAAGTCATAACCCGTGCTACGGGCCCAAGGGAGAATTAGACAATGCCTAGTCAATAACAAAACCAAGAAACTGTCTATGTACCGTATGTAGAAGGTGTCACTGACCGAATTGACAAAATCCTGAAGAAAAAGAAAATCGGCACTGTCTACAAGCCAACAAAGAAAATAGGGGAATAACTCAGCACAGCAAAAGACCGCAGTGACCCCCTCACATAAGCAGGAGTCTACAGAATTCCATGCACTTGTGGAAAACTATATATGGAACAAACAAAGAGAAGCATTGGTAACCGATTAACAGAACACGAACAAAGTTATCGTTTAGGACAAGCCGAAAAGTCTGCATTATCCGACGGAGAACACAAAATCCTTTTTGAAAACACTGATCTACTAGTAAAATCAAGACATTACTTGACCAGAATACACTTGGAGGCTATAGAGATACACAAACTGAAAAGAACTTCAATAGAAAGGAAGACGAAAAATTACCTAGGATCTGGCACACATCATTAAAATAAAACCGCCTAATACCAGTACCGCCAAAAAAGAGTGCGCATATAAATACCACATTTGGAGGGATAAAGGAGGATTTAGTTTCAGTTGATACGTCGAGAAGAGTACTTCATCCACTTCACTAAAGAAGGCTGCCGCAGTTGCAACTGAAACATTTGGTAGTATTAGAGAGTTTTAGCAAATGTACGTAAGATTTCCGCGTTAAACTTAGATTGTGACATTTTTCATAAACATTGAACGGGGTAGATTACAGTATATCCCTAAGGTAACGTTAGCGGATTGTTAGCGGATGTTTGCTAAAACTCCCTAATAATCAAGAAAGACTACGACATAACAGCCCGGAAACATTACATTGACGCCGGCCGTGAAAGCCTACATTCTTTTATAATTTTGTATAAATAGGTATCTCTGCTTCAGCTGCAATTTAAAATTATTGTTAAATTGCAGATAGCATATTAATGTTTTGATAGGTACTTGCATATAATTTACGCTACTATTTATATGTACATACCGTTACTCAGTAATGCAAAGGCAAACTTTCTCTATACATTAAATTCAAATATTGTTGATCAGAGCCGGTTGATCCATTTTCCGATCCTCATTTGTAAAATGACAAGTACAAAACAGTTGATGTCTCTCTATCTTGTCCCCTATAACCAAAAATTATAAGTTTCCCTACTTAGGGTGTGTACATGTTGAAGATGCCTCGATGATCGATGATCAGTTACCGATATGCGATGGTTAAGTGGATGTCAATCGATGTAATACAAATTTATGGTGCGAGGGTGCACTAATCTTTGAGGAAACAAATTTTTTGTTCACTGCATTGTAAAGTTGGGTACAAAACACATGACTATTCTTAAGCACCCTTAGATACTGAAACAAGAACAAAATATAAATGACAGTTGTAAAACTAAATTATTTTTTAAAATTGCAAGTAAACAAACAACATAACCTCAAAATTACTTCCGCGTTTAGGGTTAATTGTAGCTATAGATGGTAGCACTTTTATTAAAACAATATTAATTAAAATTATTTATTTACTAGTAAATTATCAATTAAAAAAGATAATCTTCATTGATTAATATAAAAATTAAACCAAGGGTACGCCATTCTAAGTGGGATGGTGCTCCTGTCGATCTTCAAAACCAAGTGATTATTTATTTCTAATATTTTATAAAGAAAGTTCGGATTCATGCACTTTTATTTGATCAGATTATTCGTTGAACTGCGTTTACTGCTGTCTTTGCAAGTTCAACGAATTTCCATAAAAGTATCAATTAATTAAGAAATCTTTCTTTTTAGAAATGATATCTTTAAATAAACTAAACATGAATGAGAAAAGTTAAAATAATAATTTAAAATTATGATATAAATATTTTTTACTAAATGAATAATTCTTTATCTATTTTACCTATAGTATATGAACCCTAAATATATTTAACAATACTTTTATGCTTAAAATAATAGTGAATGCTTTACCTTGAAGACTTTTTTCGGTAACACTCATTGAATTGACAAATATATTTCGTATGACCCGCCCTATTTTGTGACGTCATGCCTTGTTTATGTGCGATGCACAAAATAGCGTTGTTAGTATTGTTTGTTTCACGGATCCTTGACCTCTCTTTTTAACAACAGGCATTCGCGGAAACCCCTCGTGCTCAATCAGCATAGTGCACTGACGGACACGTGACTATTCAGCTCGCATTGGCGTATCAAAAAATAGAGATTAACACGTATGAAAATAATAAAAATATTAAAAATTGAATATATTTATATGTTATTTATGTGATGATGTGTTTTTAGGAAATTTAACTGGATGTTAACTTAGCAAAACTCAAAATTAAAAATATTTTTTTTTGGTCATTCGGTTTGAACTCATCTTTGATAAATTCCGAGATGAGGTAAAGATGCTTCTTTTTGGAATTGCGGGATTCTGCTTCAGTTTTATCATACATTTTTTTTATAGCATCTGAGTCTGTTAATAATTTTTTACTCGAAATCGTCCCTTGCAAATGGGTGTTTAAATCTATTGAGTGTAAAATTGCTCGGGAGTTGTTTAATTCAGTTTAAAGAAAACTTAAAATCAGTAGGGAGGCAGTGACAAATGATGTATATTCGTATAAAAGAAAGTATTTTTTTTAATTACAAACTTCTAATTAGTTAACTTTCAGCACTGGGATTTCATGGCTACTTATTAAATTTTGTACAGTCATATGTATCAATTCTATCAAATCAATGCTTACAGGAAATAAATCAATGAATTAAAAAAAAACCGGTTTTGGGACCTTTATTAACGATATTGTTTGTAATTTGAGTATCTAAATCTAAAACAATAAATTGAAAAAACCTATATCGATTTCTTTAACTATAGAAAAATTTTAATATCTATCAAGTTTATATTATAGATTTTACGTCAACTATTAACAAGAACACATTTTACTCGACCCTCATTTCGTTCAAAACGTTTACGTACTTTTATTTTTGTTTTGTTTCTAGGTCTTGCCCCCTTTAGGGGTGACGTGCCGCGTCTGGGGGGTTATGGGCTGCTCCCCGAGTGCTTTGTTGGAGCACATCCACAGGGACCCTTCCCATTCTAACCAGGAGAAAGTCCACGTCTCCAAGAATTCGACTGCACTAACACCGACGACCACTCAAGCTCTTGGAGTGAAAGGTAAGTTTTCAAAGTCTTTAAAAAAAGTGGTAGAATTTACATTTATTATTTTTTAAATTGACGAATTTTATATTTAAACTACGTTGTGACAAAATTCAATTGCTTAATATTATTGATATGGAGGGATAGACAATTAAAAGACGTTTCAAAAGATGTAAGTAGGTATCGGATTTCTATTTAAATTGTACAGTATCAATATTTTTAAGGACAACAAAGATGCATGTATGATCTTCACAAGAATAATTATTAAATATTGGTCTTTCACACTTCAATTCATTTAACCATTTGTAAAACATAGTTAGATGTTGCTTTATCCCCAAATAACGTATTAAGTTATCAACACAATTGCTGCGGTGGTTAAACCGTATTGGAAAATAAAGTAAAATATAATTTTTATTTTTACTTCAACGAAAACCAAAAGGCGCTAATTCCGAAATTAATACCAAAAAATATATCCATTGTAATTCATTTTTTATCTGATAATTGTAATTAGATCCCTTACTGATATCTCTTATTATATCAGTTATTTATAGTTCTTAGTCTGGCATATTGATAAGATACCAACTTGTTTAATCGAGCTAAGCTTTTTTTAACGCCGGTATTGCTTTAAACAATTAGTATCAATTTAAAACAAAAACCTGTAAGGTAGTACTTAGTACTAGTTAGTTGTTTCGCGAATTTCATACTAGAAAGGTTGCGTGTTTTTACTGTAGTGAAGAAATTTGGTAAAACAAATTTTCAAAGGTTTGGTGAGGTTACAGGATGTTATTCAGTTTTAGAATCTAGTAGACATATAATGGAACCGGATAAAGGTAAATGTAGATAGTAGAAAATGGAATTTTGTTCATTTTATAAATTCGAATTTTTGGCGAAGGTGATGAGTTCTTTATAAGAAATAAGATATATATTTAGACGGTTTAGATATACAAACAAAAAGGTGTAACTATTTTTTTAATTGATAAAGTATTAAAAAACTTTTAAAACAGTTGCAAAATAATAATAATTTATTAAATTTGGATCAGATAAACAATTACGGATAATTATAAAATTTCTTATCGTGACTATTTTACTTTTCAAACATTGTTGAGGAATTAAGATATATTTTTTCTCCTGTCTACCATTTATTTATTTTTATACAGGGTGTTCCACATAAGTATCGACACAGAACAGGTGCGTGTTAGGCATCCCAAAATATGATGATCTATCACAATTTACCTCTATACCAATTTTTACCCCTAAGGAGTTACGGAAGCCTAAAGTGGGGCCAAGTTTACTTAATGTTTATTATGTAGATATTATTATTATATTAATTTTAATTTTGTTCTCATTTAAATCGATTTTATTAAAAGCAATTTGCTATTTGTTAAATTTATTAACATTATCATAATGCATTGTTTTAATTTTTCTCGTTTTTCTCGAAACATTTTAACTTTATTAAAAAATAAAAAGAGTAAAAAGTTTTAAAATAAAATTTTCCTAAAAATGAAATGAAAATTTTAAAAATCGACCAATGGACAAAAAAGTTCTGTACAGTTTATAAGGGTGGGTTATCCCAAAACGACAACTTAAAATATTTCAATTAATTCTTAATCAATCCCAAATCAAGACTCATGAAGCGCTTAAATAATTTTCCTAATATAGATTTTTTAAAATTAAACGGTTGCAGCAATATTAAATCAGTCGAAATTTATGGCCCCAATTCTTTAGGCTTCAGTAACTCCTTAGGGGTACAACTTGGTATATAAGTAAATTGCATTTAATCATCATATTTTGGAGTGCCCAACACGCAACTGTTTTGTGTCAGTACTTTTTCCCCACAAACCAAAAAGGTTTAATTACATGGATTAAAAATAATATTTAATTACCAAATCAGCAAAATGATTATTTATCGAACTAGACTGAGATTATTGTTATAACATCACATTTTAGTATGACAAAGTAAACAAACAGAAAAATAACAACGAATACAAAACAAATCAGACGGCCATGGCTATGTTGATAAATAATAGCGGCAGATAAAATATTTGATTTTTACAGTAAGAGAAAGTGTTTTCTTACTTCCGCAAATCGCTATGGTAATGCATGGCTTCATTGACGGTTGGCGATAAAAATTATAATACAAAAGTTTCACTTATAAGCTCTCACAGAGAGGAGAAGAATAACAAAAAACATTGACAAACAGCAAGAACAATAGTGGTCCAAGCACAGAACCCTGAGGCATTCTTAACTCAATATTATACATGTCCGAGGTGATTTAATTTATTTTAATAAAACATTAGATATGTAGCAAAAAAACAGCGGTTGTCACATTTTGTTGAATCTGTAGTAACCAGAATTTGACAAGGCATTTAATATTCATGTTCAATGTAGTGAAGAGAAAATTTCGTGTAATAAACATTTATTTCATACTTTTCGTACCTACTTTTCCAATGTCATGTCAATTTTGAAAACTGTCACATCTAAATGAAATATTAGAAGGACGTTTTCTCGCTTAGAGTACGCTAATTTTTCTTAGAAAAAAATCGATCCCAGTTATCATTAAATAATCAAAAAGTGTTTGGTGCGTATAGACGCAAAATTTCAAATTCCTTCAGGAATATTGGTTCTGAATTTGAGTTGGAATAGCAAGATAATTCGAGATAGAGTTTCATTTACTTCCTATAAGGAGTTTCTTTAATGAGCCCACTACGGTTTTCCACGGTAATTTGTGAATATAATCAGAGAGGAGAAATTTATAATAGCAATTATCTAAAGGTTCTTGCATGATGGGATCTGATTTCACTTTGTTTATCAAATTAAATATCGAATATCTTAATAACCTTAGATTAAAAAAAAAATAGGAAGAAAAATTTCACAAAATACAGGGTATTCAACAATACCATAATTTGTTATTACTTTCTATACATAAATAAGGCATTTCTTTTGAAATTAAACCAACAAATGTGTCCACAAACATTCTTGTAAAATATTTTGATTTTTTACAGATACTTATAAAAGACTAGATTTAATTATATTTTCTCAGGATATTTTCTTTTTCCTACGTTCAGGACGTATTTATTGTATTGTTCGCTCAGTTGAAAATCGACCATAACAACTATTAAAAATTTGAGAAAAACATATAGATTTGCATGTTTCTAACATTTTTTTTATTCTTATACATTGGTCCATTGTATATCTGCGACCATCAACTTTTATATGTACTTACAATAAAACATAGTTCAGTACCATTATAATTAAATAAAAAATAAATTCAATAAAATAACACACAATTTAAAAACCTTCATTTATTTATATGATATGAAACACAATTTTTATTTTGACTTTACTGTAAAAGCCCCTAAAAAGATGCGGTTGGGTGTGGGTAATCCCCATCACGCTACTATATCCGACCTCACCTTGCACCCTGTCATGAACCATATCGGAAATAATCACTAGTAGCCCAGAAAAGGTAAAAAAGGGGTGGGGAAAGGACGTCGGCCTACTCTTCGAATTTTTCTAATTTTTTAATTATCTGTATAACCAATATCTCAAAATAGTCAATCTATAAAAAAATGTTTCACCCCCACCTACATTTAGGGGGGAGTTTACCCCCCCCCCCACCTACATTTAGAGGGGGTGAAGTAAACTTCTCTTTTGGGGGATGAATTTTTTTTCGTCTCAAAGTCCAATCCATCATACCCAAAGTTCATTTTCCTAAGTCTAGAAGTTCTATATATCGACCTTCCCTGGGGTAGCGGGTGAAGTAGGGTGGAGGAAGTTTTTTTATCTCTTACCATTCTTACCATTTAGACATGGCAGAGAAAGAGGGTGGGAAGTTGGAGGAGTGGAAGGAAGTAATTTATTTTTCGTTTTTCGCGATCTTTTCTCCGTCCATATAATATTGTACATGCCGGTTCGAAATTAAAGGGTGCTGTAATGGCCCACCCCCGGTACCCCCTATTTGTTCGTTGTTTTACTCTGAAATGTTATTATTTACCTCACAAGTTTTACTTTAAATTTATACTTACTGTATTTAGCCTTTTTCCTCTAGTAGTAGAAATGATCGTCTAGTTAATTAATTGATAATTTATAAGTATACCCACATTGTGATAATGTTAATTTAGGTAAACCAGGATTCGATGCAAAGTTTGGTGCAAAGTGATAATTAAAACCAGACAAATTTATTTTTAAACTCTTTTGTTTTTCATACTTTAAATGTGATGCAATAATTAGCAAAGTATATAACAATTGGTACTATTTACTGAGATCACACTTGAGTCCCGTTGAAACGCAGACCATATTCATTTGCTATTAATATATATTTTATTTAGGTTGATGACCAACGGAGCTAACGAACAGCGTTAATTCGCCAGTTCGTTAACTACTGTGTTGTTTATATTCTTATTTAAGTTGATGACCAACGAAGTTAACGAACAGCGCCAATTCGGCAGTTGGTTAACTATTGTGTTGATGTTGATTTGATTATATTCTAGATATACACAGGTTGCACCCTCTTGGGTAAATATTTCGACGAGTATAGAGGTGATGACCAACGGAAGTAACGAACAGCGCCAATTCGCCAGTTGGTTACTTTACTATGTTGATTTCAGATATGCTTTATTTCAAACCTTGTAGATTGGGAGGCTTAGCATATAGGTGTCCTCCCTTGAGCTAACGAACAGTGTATTCACCAGTTGGTTAACTTATTATTAAATTTTGTCATCTTGGTTTGTACAATTTATCCGAGATAGCACATCCCTGTATATTTCTAAAATAATGATATTTATACTTTCTATTGAAATGACAATACAACCCTGTATATTTTTTAATATTGATTATTATAATTTCTATTGAAATTATTTAATACAACCCTGTGTATTTCTTAATATTGATTTTTATAATTTCTATTGAAATTCTTAAAATTTACCCATCGAAAACATATGTCTATCCTGTCTTTCGGGGTGCATGACCTGAAGGCCATGTGGTTTATTGGTTATATTGATATTTTGCAGAAAATGTCA